TTAGACATATGTAACAATCACTAAGCAATAGCATACCCCTTTGGAGCAGATCTCTGCAGACCCATGAAGATGTACTGTCTTGTAGTGATGCTATATAGACAAATAGATGACTTCTTAAGTCTTAATGATGATCCTATAAGAATTCCTAAAATTATATCAATGATTATTAAGCTCTTTTATAGTGGGACTGCTATTAAGTCCCTTTCTGATAGTCAAAACTGCAGTGAGAACTCTGCCAGTCTCCCAAGTGTCATCAGTTTATTGCTCTTAAATAGTAACCAGACTTTCTCCTACCCAGAGCACATTCCAAGAAGTTGTAAGACAATTAACCAAAGGTCGTAAAAAGAGAACTAATGATTTATTATAGGTGCTAGGACAGAAGATAAAATATTGCCTGGGTTTATCTATACAAAACTTCACTAATTTCTTAGTTATAGTTTTAAACCTTCGGTGAACCTGTGGAGCTAGACAGGCGATGGATAGTTACTGCTAATCACTATGCATGTGAACATTCTCTGTTGTAAACTTCTATTTCAATTTATGATTTGATTTTGGGTGTGAACTTGTGACGAACTTTGTAACATGTGACCATGTGTTCTGAAAGATGTGTAAGTACTGAAGACAAAGACAAAGAGAGGTTCGTTTGTCCCTTCCTTTCCTTTTCCCCTGCCTAAAATTTTTTCCCTTAGAACTTTTCCCTTATTAGATTTTTTTCCTTTCCCCCACATAGGACCTTTCCACTTTTCCCCTTAGATAGCTTTCATAGGAAACTTTTTACACTTAGTAATAAACTCTATAATAACTTCTCTAAGTGTTTTTTCTTCTTGTGACCTCAGACTAGCAGGCATAAGTTAGGGCCCGGCAGTTCCTGCTGAGATAGGGATGAGGTACTGAGTGCCAGGAACTGCAGTTTCTGGCCTCAGGGGATCACAGAAGGCAGGTCAGCTACAGTAGCATAGTAACATAGATAAGTAAACTTTTATTATACAGCAACCCTAAATATCTCGTAAGACCAAGTCTTATCCACCTCCCACCCAACCCCCCCCACCGATGCTCTTCCCCCTCCACCGCTGCCTCAAGAAGAACCCACAAGAAGAAAGAAGATCCCTCACCAAGCCGGGGCTGGCCCCCCGGCAAGCCACCTGTGTCCCAACAGCTTGATTGAGGATGCAGTCACAGGCAGTAGGCCCCTTGCTTAGTGGAGATAGCATTCAGGCTGCAGCATAGCTACTGCTTACCAGAGCCGAAAGGTACAGAAAGGATGCAGCTTGACATGGAAAAGCTTCGGTTCAGTCTTAAAGACAGGTAGGTTTGAAAGCATAGGTAATTGTCAAATAGATTATCACCATTAAAGAGAAAATTGATTCATTGAACTGGAACAAGTTGAAAACTGTCCTGAGCACAAGACTCCACTCATCAAAAGCCACATTTTATACAAGTGAAAATTAAAAGGAAAGAGCCTAAACTGAGAATGCCACTGAGAGGGATTCACTACTCCTAGGGGAAAAAAATCTGCCTTGAGAAGTGTTTTCCCAGAGATGGCACTCAGAAGCTAATGCCCTGCCTGATAGGACAGGCTCTATCATGAACTGCCAGCAGAACTTGGCAGTGTTGTCCACTTAGTAGTAGATTTTCAGCCATGAAAGATACAAGATTGAAGAAGTTACAGTTTTGTACCATAGTTTAAGAAAGCCAGAGGCTAGCGTGGAGGGTCTGAGTGTCTGCAAGGAGGACTTCAGAGGCCAGCATGTAAAGCTGCAGAGGTGAAAGTGTGACAATCTGTCTTCAGGAGGGGTCCCTCTGCTGTGATAAAATGCCATGACCAAAAGCAACCTAAGGAGGAAAAGGGTTATTTCAGCCTACACCTCCAGAGTCATCCATCACTGAAGGACTCGAGCAGGGGAGGAACCTGGAGGCAAGAACTGAAGTAGGAGTCACAGAGGAGTACTGCTTACAGGTAAGCAGTACTTTTTTGTTTATCTTTTTTTTTTTTTCTTTTTGAGACAGGGTTTCTCTGTGTAGTCCTGGCTATCCTGGAACTCACTCTGTAGACCAGGCTGACCTTGAACTCAGAAATCCACCTGCCTCTGCCTCCCAAGTGCTGGGATTAAAGGCGTGCGCCACCGCTGCCAGGCTAATTAGGCTTTTCAAGGCAAGGTTTCTCTGTGTAGCCCTGCCTGTCCTAGGACTCAATTTGTAGACTAGGCATGCTCAGAGATCCTCCTGTATCTGCCTGGCGGTGGGATTAGAGGCGTGAGACAGTACCCCCTGCCTGAGAAACTGTTAGAAGTAAATGAGATGCTTCAAACCATCCCAGAGAAGGAAGACTGGTCAGGTTTCCATGCCGGCATGTTCTGTTTGTACCAAGTGGCCATTTCACAGGTGTTTGCTTTGTTTGCAGGGTGGGAATTTATGGAGCTGTACATTTATTCTTCAGGATTCCTCGCTCATGTGCTGTGCGATACAGAACAATACAAAACAAAGCAGGGGAGAAGGAAAGCTGACAGGGGAGTCAGTGAAGCGCAACGGGGAAGTAGAAGAGGTGCCCTGTGGTGTCTCCTTTCCCTTCTTTCCCTGTCAGTTCTAGCTGTCCAGGCCTCTATCAGAACTTCCCTCAGCCTCAGGCATTTCTAGCCCCTATTAGGGGAATAGCTTTGCTAAATTTTGTTTTATACATTTTATTTATTTGATGCATACGCATATGTGTGGTTACATGTGCCATGGTGCATGTGGAGATCAGAGGAAAATGTTCAGGAGTTGGTTCCCTCCTTCCGTTATGTGGGTGCTGGAGACTGAAGAGAGTCAGGCTTGGCCGCAGGTATTCACCTGCTGAGCCATCCTGCTCGTTTGTGTGCTTTAAATATTTGTTGTTGTTGTTATTATTGTGTGTGTGAGAGAGAGGGAAAGATCAAGGGAGGGGATGTATGCACATCACTGTGCAGGTGTTGAGGTCAGAGGACAACTTTACACTGTTTCTGGAGATGGAACTCAGGCCTTCACGGTTTTTGTGGCAAGTGCTTTTTTATCCGTTGAGCTGTCATCCCAGCATCACTGTTTAAACAGGCCCTTTCATGTTCTTCTCTGTTTCTAGCTTATACAATTTTCAAAAATCACAACTACCACCCCAACCCCCCCCCACACAAACAGGTTTGTGTGTAACCACGGTGGCACATGCCTTTAATCCCAGCACTTGGGAGGCAGAGGCAGGGAGATCTGAGTTTGAGGCCAGCTTGGTCTACAGAGTGAGTTCCATCACAGCCAGGGCTACACAGAGAAACCATGTCCTGATAAAAACAAAATAGAAAGCAGCTGGACTACTTAGAAGAGCTCAAGACCAACTGAGGCACCTGGAGAGAACCCTCTGCAACCTGCTGAGCTGCCTGCAGGCTGTGCAGTGTGCTCCAGGTTCCCAGCTTTGTGAGCTGTCACCCATACTTGTGTTGGACTGTGGTGATGCAGGTGTCTTTGAGTCATCTCTTCTCCTAAAACTTCTCACCTACATTCTTGTTTTATTTATGTTTTTCAAAGTAGGCTTTCTCTGTGTAGCCCTAGCTGTCCTGGGGCCACTCAGTAGACCTGGCTGGTTTTGAACTCAGAGATCCAGCTGCCTCTGCCTCCTGAGTGCTGCAATTAAAGGCTTGAGCTACCACAGCCCAGTTTCTTGAAAGTAACTTCAACAAAACTCCTAGTTTCACCAAGTTGGACTTTGGTGTTACCCACTTTGGTCTGTTGTGGGCTCCCTCTCTGGGGTGGGTGGCCGAGTGTGTGTTTTTTCTTCCCATCTCCCCACACCTAGTCATAAAAGCTCTCTGGCAGTTATCCGAGCAGCCCAAGCACATGTGTGCCACTCCATTGCTGTCCACGTCTCCGTGCTTCTGCTCCATCTGTTCCGTGTTTCACCTGCTCTGCCTCACTGACGTTTACGATTTACCCAAACAGGAGCTGGAGATGTAGCTCAGTTGGTAAGAGTGCTTGCCAAGAATGCAAGAAGCACTGGGTTTGAGCCTCAGCACCACACAAGCCTGGGCGCGGTGGTGCAAGACTATAATCCCAACATTAAGGAGGTAGAGGCAGGAGGATCCAGATTCAAGGATAATACTCAGGTACACAGGGAATTGGAGGCCAGTCTGGCAAATATGAGATAATGTTTAAAATCAAAGGCAAACTAAGTAACAACAAAACCCTCAAATTACTACAGACATCCTTTCCTCCCTTTTTTTTTTTTTTAAATTTTATTTATTATATATGAGTACACTGTAGCTGTCTTCAGACACCCCACAAGAGGGCATCAGATATCATTGCAGATGGTTGTTAGCCACCATGTGGTTGCTGGGATTTGAACTCATGACCTCTGGAAGAGCAGTCAGTGCTCTTAACCACTGAGCCATCTCACCAGCCTCCTTTCCTCCCTTTCTAACAGAATGAAGTAAACAACAACAAAAGAAACCTACCCTTTTTTTTTTTTTTTTGAGACGGCCTTGTTATGAAATCTTAGCTATCCTGGACCTCACTGTATACACCAGGCTAGCCTTGAACCCAGAGATCTATCTGCATCTGCCTTCCCAGTGCTAAGATTAAAGGTATGTGCTATCATATGAGGCTTCCTTTAAAAAACAGAACATCATCATCATCAACAACAACAACAAACCCACAAAAAAACCCCCAAAAAACAAAAACCCTTGTCCTCAACTTGCCCCTGATACTTTACCCTAACACTGTTGTTTTGCTATATTTAAAAGTTTGCTAAGTAAATCAAATTGTGTGAACAAGCACTGGAGCATCTAATTTATAAAAAGATACAGATGGGCTCAGTGGCTGTTCTCAGCATCCACGTCAGGCACTTTACTGCCTGTAACTTCAGTTCCGAGGGGATCTAAGGCCTCTGGCCCTAACAGGTACCTACACTAATACGCACATACCCACATGCAGACATACACATTAAAAAATATATATATTTTTTAAAAAGATGCAGCTATCTTAAAAATTGAGACAATATAGCATTTTTTAAAAATCAGAAAGTGCGTTTAATTAAATGACGAGAGCTGGTCCAGGAATGGGAGGTGGAGCCTGTGGGGTGAGGGTTAGAAGCGAGGGGCTCCGTAGTCATCTGGCATCCGCTCGATGTTGTATCTGACCAGGAAGGAAAGCAGACGCCGTTATGAGAGGAGGTACAATACAAGGCCATTCTGAGCCACTCCACCATTTACTCGCAAGTCGTCTTAAAATGAGAGGAAACTTTTTCAGGGAGACCCAACAATGACTGACGCATACCAAAATCTTGACTGTATTTACTTTTGTTCTTCAAAGTCATAGCAAAGGGCAACTAGGATTTGATATCCAGGGGAGCCAGAGTCAGTCTGTATTTTTATCAGTATACTGTGCTCTCCCCAGATGGAAAAGCTAGGCATAGGAGTTCTTACAAGGTAAAGAAGGATAAAGAACAGTTTTGTTTATTAAGACAAACCTTTAGTTTCTCAGATAAGGGGTTAATAAAGACTATTCTTCCCCCACCCCCTCTCCATCTGAACTGGCCTCAAATGCACTGAGTAGCAAGAATGATCTGGAATTTCTGGTCACTGTGTCCTCAGTGTTGGGAATGCCCAGTTTTATCTCATGCTAAGAGTCAAGCTCTTCCCAAAAAAATCTTTAAAAAGGGTATTTCTATCCAAAAAGATGAAATTGCATTAAGATAATGCTTTGTGTAAAGCAATGCATGCATTTCTAATAATCTTAATGTAACAATTTGATTTTTGCTTCATTTCAAATCCTGTCTTTGTCTTCTTCCCATTCTTGCTATTTTATCTCATTTCTTCAACTTTAAATGTAAACATGGTAGTGTCATTCCTCTGAAATCCTTCTCTAACTTTATAACCTGCTCTCACTGTAACTGATGACCAACCATGAGTCTCTAATCACTGTCCAAAAGCACTTCCCACCTGTGGTTAGAAATGTACATGATAGGAACACCAGGGATCTTCCGGATCCTTCGTTTGAGGTCACGGTCAACTGTGGCCACAATGTAACACTTGTGCTGAAAGAGAAGCTCACTGATGTTTACAACCGACTCAGACAGTACAGGCACACACAACCACTGAACAGTCTCTCATTTTCACAGTAACTATCAGAGACCTATGAGATATTTATAGAATAAAGCATATAAGCTATCTGGCCTCAGTATGGTCTTAAGAACTTTGAGGGGAAGGTAAGAAGTATTCATCTTCAAACTACTTTCTGTCCCACACATGGGAGGGACTGCTACAGTTAAGGCAGACAGTTCCTTAGTTTTGGAAAAATGCCCCAATAACTACATGTAAATGCCTAGATTGGAGGGCAGTTTTCCTTCCTCTGCTCTTGTGGCTTAGGTGTACTCTGAAGTTCTTTGGTGGTGTAAGTAGGCAGCCCCTCACCAGGAAAAGGATCTCTATGATCCAAAACCTGGGTTTAGCTTAACATTAACTATAGCTAGTTTGCTATAGTTTACTTCATATACAAATCTCCATTGAGTTTTCTAGAACATTTACCACCGTGGTGGCAGCTATGATGTGGCCCCATAGATGGATCAAGTTGCTAAACGGCAGAGTGCTCATTAAATGAAGATGGCCATCCTTAGTAAGGGCCACGTTCTTCTCTCCATTCTTTTTTGTAAGGGTCAGGCCTTTTCTCTCCCTCCCTTCTCCTTTTCCTCCCCTATCCACCTCTCTCTCCAGTGCTGTGGCTAGGGATTAAACCCAAGGCCTGGTGCACACTGGGCAGTACTCTACCACTGGGCTACAACTCCAACCTGAGAACGGTTCTTATCCAAGAGTCTTGTGTTCTTTGATGAGCACTTCATAGTGGAAGAATTCAAAAAGGAATTAACCCAGGGCATGCATGCGACAGCACCCTGAGAGATTGTAAGACTAACTGAGAAAACATTTCTGCGTTAGGTATGGTGGGAAGGAACACCATTCCTACACGGGGTGGAAATGGAACCTTATTTAAGATCCACGGGTGTGTGTGTGTGTGGGGGGGGGGTGTCGGGGGGGAGTAGAATGTGATATATTATTATAGCTACATGAATACATTTAAATATATTACAGGGGATTTGTGGAATAAAGACCTAGTAAGTGTTCCAAATTATATACTAAGTTGTTAATGCAGAGGTCGGGACTGTTTTTGTTTTGTTCAGGACAGGATCTCCCTCTGTAGCCCTGGCTTGCCTGGACCTCACTATGTAGCGGAGGCTGGCTTTGAACTCAAAAAGATTTCTGCCTACCAATGGGCAAGAAGCTGAGATTTGAAACCGAGCTTCCTTCCCAAACACATGCTCTTCCTATTATGGTTAGAACACAAATTTTTAAATCAATTTTTTCAAGTAAATGGTGTCTATGCTACTTATGAACAAATGTATATACACTATATGCATATACTGTATCACTACATAAAAAGATATAATATATTGTATATAATATATAAATCCTAGATTCTTTACTGAGCTTGAATATTCAGAAGGTAATAATTTGTGTCCCTTTTTTTGGGATTATCCCTTTTTCTGGGATAACTGTGTAGGTGGAACTGGCTATGTAGACCAGTTTGAACTTGAACTTACAGAGGTCCACCTGTTTTTGCTTGTGTTTTGGAATAAAAAACGTGTTACATCACAGAGTTTGTGCCTTTTTTCCCCCCTTAAGATTTACTTACTCAGCTGGGCGGTGGTGGCACACGACTTTAATCCCCAGCACTTGGGAGGCAGAGGCAGGCGGATTTCTGAGTTCGAGAGTTTGAGGCTAGCCTGGTCTACAGAGTGAGTTCCAGGACAGCCAGGGCTACACAGAGAAACCCTGTCTTGAAAAACCAAAAAAAAAAAAATTTACTTACTTATATGCATACTTGAGTGTTTGTGTGTTTAGTGTATGTGTGCGTCATGTGTGTGCAGGTGTCTGCAGAGGCCAGAAGAGGCATTGGAAGTGGAATTATAGAAGGTTGTAAGTCACCTAAGTGTTGGCATCTGAATCTGGGACCTCAGCAAGAAGAGTTAGTGCTCTTAACCACTGAAACACGACTTCTGCACAAAGTACACATTTCAGACATGGTGATGATGGTACCTGAGTTACTCTCTGTACAAGGCAGTCATCAGCGTAGGTTCCTTTGTGTGTACATGGCAATCGGTCAAATCGCGGGTCCTTGGCGATTCTGCAGGATTCACGATAACAGTAGATTAAAGAAAACATTCAAGCTATCTGAAAACTTTCTCTGTCCAACCAGCAAAGCAAAGGTACCACGGTTGACGTGACCCATGGAGGATTACAAGGCCCTGGAAGGCCATTTTTCATATCTCATCTTCATAAGGAAGGGCATCAAACCCATGGGGGATAGCCCTGGGACTCATTTATTCAGTACCAAACCCTCAAGTTTTTGCATTTCCATTTTACAAAAGGAGAAGGAAGTTCAGTTATTAAGTTGCTCAAACCTACAGAACTAAGAAAAGCCAGCAGTGGAAATCAAATGCATCTTAAACATTTTTAGGAAGTTGGCATACACAAACACACTGCAAGAACGACATAAGGGTGGTCACTGTGGCATAGCCAATCAGCAATATAAAAGCTAAGTACATTTTTCTGTGTCTGTCTGATTATGAATTATGTATGACCATAAGTGGACCTTGCTAACCCCTGAATAACCCATGTCAGTGAACTGTGTGTGAGTATAAGATCCAGAGAAGATGGACACAGGGCTTCCTGACGCTTTCTAGTTCCCTGCTCCTCTCAGCTGTCATTCTTGTGTGAGAATGAACAGTGACTGTGGAGGAGTGTAGGTAGTTGTGAATTGCCCAACAAGCGGAGTAGGAACTGAGCTCAGATCTCTGGGAAAGCAGCAAATGTTCTTATTAGCTGCTTAACCATCTCTCCAGTCTCTTCATTCTTTTTTTTTTTTTTTTTTTTTTCAAATTTAAACTAACTTGCCAGGAAATCTTTGGTTAGCAAAGAGATGAGGTATACTAAAAGTATCCACAGTCTACCAAGGTACAGTAAATCTAGACTAACTCTTCCTTACCTCAGTGCCACACGATACTTCTGTCCCAATTTCTCAATTTCAGCCATTACACAATCAGTTATACAAGGGATACCTGCAAGGAACAAACAACCCAGCACAGAAATTAGTAACAGACCTTGTAAAGATACTCTCTGAATTATATTTAGTTCAGTCTGTAAAAATCCTGTAGACTTCTGCAATGACGGCAGATTAAGTTCACTGAAATCACCAGTAAGAATGAAAAGAAATGGGGCTGGAGAGATTGCTCAGTGGTTAAGAGCACTGGCTGCTCTTCCAGAGAACCTGGGTTCAATTCTTTGTACCCACAGGCAGCTTACAACTGTCTGTAACTCCAGTTCCAGGGAATCTGACACTCTTACACAGATATGGATGCAGGAAAAACATCAATGCACACAAAATAATAATTTAAAAAACAAGACAAAACAAAACTAAGAGAATTGGGTACAGTGACAAAGGCTTGTAACCCTCGCTACTCCAGATACAGGAGAATTGAAAGTCCAAGACAAGCATGGACTAGAAATAGCTCAAGGCCATCTTGGGCAATTTGGTGAGATCTTGTCTCAAAACAAAAAGTAAATGTGGGCTGGGGACATAGCACAGCAGTACAGAGTTTGCTTAATATTTAGGAGGTCCTGGGTTCAATCCTCAGCACATGGGGTTGGTGGGAGGTGGGAGTGATGTACAACTGTAATCTGAGCATTTGGGTAGAGGCTAAAGGGTCAGGAGTTCAAGGTCATCCTCAGCTACACAATAAAGTCTAGTCCAGCGTGGACTACATGAGATTCTGTCTCACAACAGTGACAAACGCCTCCCCAAAAGACAACAAATTATATGCTTAAACAACAGAACACTATGAAACTAAAATGTGATCTGTAGATGCATGATCAGAAACAAAACAGTGCTTTGTGTGGCTCTTGAAAACATCAAGCTGAATGAAAGAAAACCAAGTAAGAGCTTCCAGTTTTATGAAATGCCCAGAATAGGCAAATTTATAGAGACAGACTAGACTAATGTCATTTAGGGATGGGAAAATAGGAAGCACCGCCCACTGTGGGTGTAACAACTGAAGGAACTGGGGTTTCTCCTTGGAGCCTATGTCCTACTCCATTGTAGGCCCTCATGCTTTCACTGTCAAACAGCTATGAAGTGAGTCTTCTTCAAGCACACACTGCCTTTTGGTTCCATAACTACCTAGTGTCACTGACATAGCATCTCCATTCTCTTCTCACTTAAATTTACTTTCAGGTTTTCCCTCTTGTCTTTCAAAACCATCAGTATACATTTAAAAGTTTAAATTATATCATTTATTGGGGGAGTTGGGACCACGTGTTGTAGTGCATGAGTGAGCATTAGAAGTCGACTTTTAGGAGTGTGTTCTCTCCTCCAAAACTTGGGCTCCTGGGCTCCAACTCAGGAGGCTCGCTCGCTGCAAAGTGCCTTTACTAGATGAGCAATCTCGTTAGCCCAGTGTATTTTTTTTAAAATATCCTCTTAAAAGTATTTATTTTATGTGTATGAATGTTTTGCCTGCATGTGCATGCCTGGTGCTTGTGGAGGTCAGATGAGGGCGTCAGATCACCTGGAACTGGAGTTACAGAGTTGTGAGCCAACATGTGAGTGCTGGGAATGGAACCCAGGTCTTCTGCAAGACTAACAAGTGCTCTTTAACTGCTGAGCCACCATAACCTGTCACTCCCAGCAGTTTTATTTTTCAAAGAACCATTTTTGCTGAACAGCCCATCTCAATATTCTAATATTGAAAAATGTCTATCAACCGTATTGAAAACGAGTGTGCAGTCACCTGGGTTTATTTATTTATTTTTAAATTTCATTTATAAAACACAGGCAGAGAGGACATAAATGGGCACTTGCTACTGAAAAGTGCAGGGTGGTTAAGTGCACTTGTGACTCTTGCAGAGGGCCCAGCACCACATGGTGGCTCACAACCATCTGTAACTCCAGTTGCAGGGGGATCCAACACCCCAGTCACATGGAAAACACATTCAGGTAACACACATACACATAAAATAATAATTAAGTCTAAAAAAAAAAAAAAAGGCAACAGACTTGCTTGCAGCAGCTATGACAGCTTTCTTTTTGCAAAAAAAAGAATGTAGTACATCTGTGATGCTTAGTTGAGGCAAACCACGATGAATGCCTACAATGTCTTTTTCAAAAGGAGATGTAAGATTTCCCTTTGATTACAGCAATTTATTCTATATGGCAAAGTATCATTCTGAATGCCTTTAACAGAGTAATAACCTGTGAACAGGAACCTATCACAAAATGAAGCAGATCGTTTGGGTTGTTGATGTTACTGTTATTTTGCAGTGCTGGGAACTAATCTCAGAGCTTCTCATACACTAGGAAGTGCTCCACTATTAAACCACTGAGCTAACCCCCTAACCCAAAAGTGTACCATGCCTAACTATTAGGAAGCTATTCTCCTGGATACGGCTTAAATTTTCTTCTTCCTACTCAGGATTACGACAGAAAGGGATAAACAAGGGGATTCTGCACACTGCGGTATAAAATACCTCAGACCTTTTAGAAATAGAAATGAATTCTAACTGAATAAATGTGAGAACACCTATCATTTGACTCCTGGCTCTGTCACCATAAGTGGAAACACGATTTATTTAGCTTTCTGATAGTAGATTGGAATTGAGAATGTATCCTGCTTAATAGAAATGTATATACCAAAAATAGATTTTCAGTTGTTCAGAATTTTAAAATCCAGGCTCAAAATTTATATCTCTAAAACAGTGAAAACCCTGCTTTCGAATTGTGAGAATTTAGTTACTCCTAGTCATTAGATCTCAACATAAACTGCCATTGCTAGGTATATTGAAAACCAAATGGCCATTAGTTCATTTACTGGGATCTTCACTTCTCTCTTTCTATGTATTTGGACAAAATATTGCTTTGTACAGATGCCACAGAGATAAAAGCATGAAACTCACACTTGGCATACAGACAATCCATCATCGACTGCACTAAGTCCAGTTTGGCCTTAATGGAAAAGTTGATGAAGTTGGTATCGACAAGGATGTGGTAAGGCGGGCCCAGCTGTGTATTGTACTGGAAGAACAAGCAGGAAGGATGCTGGGGGCTGGAAGGAGAAAGAAAATGAGATCACAGGTCAAAGTCCACATTGATAATTTTGATGTTAAGGAAATGAAAACTGAACGATCTGGGAACGTTCACTACAGATAAACGTCTTGTCCCCTTGTTCACCGCAAGTAGGAAAAGGGCTGAATAAACAGCTCAGCAGTTAAAAGCAGGAAGTACTGCTCTCAGAGGACCCAGATTCAGTTCCTAGCACTGACCCCGAGTGTTCATTACTGCCTGGAATTCCAGCTTCAGGTGCTACACCTCCAGACACCCGAACTCATGTGCACATGCCCACACACAGACATGTACATGTCCACACAAACAAATAATGAAAGACATCTTTAAAGAAGAAAGTTAACAGCATGTTATTTTCAGGCCCACTAGAAAGCTCTGACACAACTTTACAAACACAATCACCCCAAAACCACAGAAAGAATGTAGTTATCAGGATTAAAATCAATGCTACGGCATGTGGCCGTTCTCAAAATCCTAAAATGGATGGAATGTAAACAGACCGCCTAGCATTAGGACTATATCGGACGGAGCCTGTTACTCATCTAAAAATCCACGAAGTTCCTGAACCAGCATCTGCTGTGATAACACAGCCTCTGTGAATCCAGAGTAGGAAGAGAACACTATGGAAACCATGGTGAGATTTTTCATGGAGTTAAAGGGACTTATTTTAAAGAAATGACCTTATCCAGAATGTGTAACTTCACCGATTTGTGGCAAGATAGTCTTTCTCTTTTGTGATATTTTGGTGTGGCAAACAATGGAAATTATTTATTTTTAAAAGATTTTTTGAAAAGAAAAAGTTTATTCCCAGTGTCTTCAGGGAAAATTTACTGCTCAATGGGATTCAAAACCTCAAAGCTCTGAAATCAGAATGTGCCCATCGACAGCAGCTTCATTTGACTAAGCACATGGAGTCAGGGGAAGCCTGGAGACTTCGAGGGCCGCTGCTTTAGTCTCTGAGTGGGAAGGGAAAGCCCGACGCTCTTAGTACTCACACTTCTCTTTCCTTCAGTGCACTGGGATCTTTCTTCTCTTTCTTTTTAGGCTTCAACCTATCCTTTTCTTTACTGCAGAAAAAGAAATCCAGAGAAGAGAAAAATAATGGGGTTGACATTTCATTTGGAAGTTTCAAGTTTGTTGGGGCTGTTTCTTGGTGGGAGAGCACCGACCAGCCTAGCACGTGTGAAGCCCTAGGTTCAGTCTCTACCACCTCAAGTTCCATTCTCTTTCTGCTACCAAAGAAATCCAGTTGTGGAGTTTGTGATGTTAATATCAGCATACACTATGAGAACAAGTAAATATAGCAGGAAATAGCCTGAAAACATAAAAATTAATCAATAAGACCAGTAAACTCAAAATGTTGTTAATGAGTAAATTCTAATTACTAACTTTTTCCTTAGTATAAATAAGGGTTGATTATACTTAAAGTATATTATATACCCACTTGAAAAATGCTATAATGAAATTTATTGTTATGTACAATATATCCACTTCTAAGAGGCTATGAAGAGGTTGGTATTAACCTGCTGAAGACTTCTAAATATCCCAAGCTAGGCATGGTGGCCCTCCTAGGACCAGGGAGGGAGAGGCAGACAGACCTCTATGAGTTTGAGGTCTGGTCTATGTAGCAAGTTCCGGGATAGCCAAGGCTACTTAGTGAGACCTTGTCTCACTAAACAACAACAAAAAACTGAACCAAAACAAAAAAGACTCAAGCCATAAGTTTAGGAGGAAAGTTTCTCCACATTCTTTATAAAGGCCTGAAACATAGCACACATATAAAATGAAGACTTAACACAAGGAAGTTATCAGTGGGACATTGTTCCTAAAAGATATAAAATAAAATCCACATCAGAAGCTGAGAATAATAATTCTGAAGGTTGAAGGTTTTAACGACCACTCTCTTGTTCTGAAAATCTTAAACATGAAGAAGATCAGTCTTTATCTAATTAACTGGTCCTCCCTTCCCCCAAGACAGGGTTTCTCTGTGTATCCCTGGCTGTCCTGGAGCTCACTCTGTAGACCAGTCTGACCTCGATCTCAGAAATCCGCCTGCCTCTGTCTCCCAAGTGCTGGGATTAAAGGCGTGCGCCACCACTGCTGGCTCTAAATCGACTGTTTATCCAGTCTTTACTGATAAAGAGAAAGGGGTTGAATATTCTTTATAATGGGAATATTATTCTAGTTTCTTCTAAGGTTCTGAATTCTTATAATTTATAAAATGGAACTATCTTGGACTTTTCCCATCCTCCCTTTTAAACTGGGGTGGCAGGACCTGTAAACTGAAGACAAGCACGGTATGACTTCACTGACTTTTCCACAATGATACCATCCCCCGCCCCACCGAATCTGTGACTATAATTCCATGCAAGAGACCTAAGACATAATAAGCAAAACAAAAACATCAAATGTTTCTACTTAGCCCATCGTGACTCCCGTATTTCAGATCAGTTTAAGAAACCAGTTGGTTCAGACCACTCACAGTCGTTCATCTCTGAGACTGAGCATTCGCTTCATAGTCGCATATTTCCTTGTTTTCTTTTGCTTCCCCTTGAAACAGAAGTTTTCGAGTTAAAAGAGCTAGAAACATCTCTTGAAGTTCTCTTCTATTTTTCTCGCCCCTTTTCCTTTCCTCAAACAGCACTCAGTCCCCCTCCCTACTCCCTAAAACATAGATCCCTTCGAACTAAGACCAAAATGGAATTAAACAGACAAACAAACAAACAAGGAAGGGCCGGATCTCTATCTGGCCAAGGGCTGAGCTCCATTTGCTTCCCAAAACTCTGACAAAGTTCTCCCACTCTGCTCACCATGTTCACGCCGCACTCCTGTTTCTTCCGGAATCGCTCAAAGCACGACACTTTACGTCATCCACATGCTCTTTCCGGCAAAGGCCAACCCGGAGGCGGAAGCTACTTTGGGAAACGGAAAAACTCCGAGCCGGCTCTTAACGCTGGCGGAGATCGACCCTGGAGATTTTTTAGGGGGCGGGTGGAGGGTAGGTTTTGTGTTGGATGAGGCCGCTGCTTCTTCGGACCCCAGAACTAGGACTTAGCCACGCTACAGCCCCCGTTCGGGTAACGTTTCTCTTCAGGTCCCAGCCGGAGGCAGAGCCCTGCCGACCGGTATGCTTCAGAGTTGCTGAAGGGGAGAGAGAGAAGAGGGGACGGGGGTAGAGGGGTCGGGAGTCTTGGGCTACCCCACAGTTTGGCAGTACGTTCTGGTTTTCCTCTGGCATATCAGGGCTCTGAAGTTCAGCCTCGAGGCTCTGGTTATTAATTGGTTTTCCTCGCCGGCATGGAACTTCATGAGGCTGGGTGTACGATTCTTCGGAAGAGAGGAATGTAATCGTGCTTGAGGATATCTCCCAATACCCTTCTCCCTCCCTCCGTCTCTGTCTTTCTGTCTGTCTGTCTCCACGTGTATGTGTGTGTGTGTGTGTGTGTGTGTGTGTGTGTGTACACGGCACGAGCGTGCAGGTGCATCAGAGCAGAAATTCAGAGCAGAAGCCAGAGGAAGCTGGTTGTCTTTATCTTACTATCCACTTTTTAAAAATCAGACAGTCTGTCTTACCGAAACTGGAAGCAACCCGCACCTCCACCTCCGCTTTTTGGCTAGATTGAGTGACCAAAAAGTCCCAGAGATACTCCCATCCCTGCTTTCCAGCACCCATCCCTGCCTTCCGGCACTGGAGTGACAAGCACACTACGCCTGGCTTGTTTTCTAACCAGATCCCGGGCATCCAAACTCAAGTCTTCTTGCTTGGTCAGCAAGCCATTGAGCCAACTATCCCAGTCTGCGGCGGCCTTCTTTAGGCGATCACAAGAAAACAGGTGCTTACACTTATATATGCAACTACTTACCAAGCCTGGAATATGATGGGAAACCATTGCTATTCGTTGTGAAGCCTGATGTGCGGTCCTTAGTGGGAGAGGGAGAATTTGTGGGAATGAGAAAGAGAACTTCTGCAGTGTTTTTTTTTCCTTCCTTCCTCCCCCCCCCCCCCCCCCCTCCCTCCCTCCCTCCCTTCCTTCCTTCCTTCCTTCCTTTATTTTAGAATGTATTCTAGTTATTCTTAACCATTTGGAGAGATTTCTTTTACCCCTCGAAAGTATGTGGAAGGCCAGGGACAGTTTCCTGGAAATGGATGTGCCGCTCATGAGACTTGTAGACTATGTAAAGTTCCTTTTAGCTGGCACTTTAGATACCTTTGTTTTACTGATGCTGAAGCTGTGCCCTGGACTCTCAGAAGTCAGTTTGGATCGCTTGGGTTCTAAAGCTTGTGTTTTTCTTATTGCATGACATTGACCTAGTGGGTTAAAAAGTTACTGGGTTAAAAAGATGTTCACGGTATAACACTGCAGAACAGTGCATTGGTTATAGGACTTGGAGTTTGACTGGGTGCAGATTAACCCCTCTCTTATGTTGCCGAATTACTTTGGGCCATCAGTTGGTGCCTCTGTTTCTTTGTCTATACAGAAACCTGTATTACCGAGATGTCACCGGGACTTGTGTTTTCATGCTCATAATCAGTAAGTCCCTAGAAACTCTTGCCATCAAAGTCTTTTCAGTCATTTCCTGTCATGTTTTTCCAACTTGAAATGTATACCACTTGGATGCTCATGTGTTTTTATTATTTTGAAACTCGACCATGTTGGTGAACCTCAGAACTCTTACTAAGTAAATTTTCAGGTCTCTATAATGGGTCGTTTTGTGTTGGTTTGGATCTAGAACTGGTGTCCTTCCTGTTGTTCTCTTTGAGACACACATGTGTTCAGGCCTCTCTGTGGTTCACGTATCTGTGGGTTGTCAATTTTTGGTGTTGGAATTGTTTTATTATTGACATATCTTCAGAGACTTTACTTCCTGCATTACCCCCAATGGGAGTTCCTTATCTTTTCAGAACAGGTTGTATCTGCCCAGCTACCATTTAACCACTCATGGGTAGAATTAGCAGCACCCATATTTTTAAAGAATGAAACTTGTTAGTGATGAGGCATTTTGCTTTTTAGGTAAACATGGTCAGTTATTTAAAAAAAAATCTGGAGATTGATTAGAAAAGAGAGAGGGGGGAGAGAAAGAGAGAGACTGACTGCACCCTTTTACACTTGATTGAGAGCACTTGAAGAGAAAATTGCAGCTAGGTAAATTATAATTTGCTTTTAAATTCAGGGACTGAAAGAAGAACCCTTTCCTCTAAGTCTGAAATCCATGAACTGTTTTTTTTTCTTTTCTTTTAAATCGGGTTGCAGCTTCTGTTCTGAGAACTTTATGATCCTTGATTGTCAATACTTGATAAGGGGCTGAGTCAGGGTAAGAACACTGTGGGGGTAGAGGACATAGTTAGCAGAGTGTTTTTGCTGCATTGTAATTTTGTCGTAATCTGGGCGTCTTAAAGCCTACGATTAAAGCACTCAGCTATTATGAGCCATCCTTCGGTAGGACGGAGAGTAGCATGGTTTTGACTGTGTTGGATGGAAGTGGTAATTACTTTTGACTGCACACTTGTTAGGAAAAGAATTATTTCAGTCCTCAGTGGTTCAGAGGCACATTGTGCATTTTCTGTATTCCTGAAGAGAAAGAGTCTCCGACACCCCTGAGTCCACAGTTTGAGTACTTAATTGGCCTTGGACATTGTTCTCCTTATTAATTGGTCTAAATACATTTTGAATACAGTTATGACTATGAGAGAGCCCCTAGAGAACATCTTGTATTTCAAGTTAATTTAGAGATATTATTTCCAGTTTCAAACTACATTTTTACATTTATCTCATGGGCCATATGTTGTTTCCCCAACAAACATTTATTGCTGTTAATTACTTTTAACCTGCTGACTTTAATGACATAGCAGGGCTAGAGAGATGACTTGATGGTTAAGAGCACACTGGCTGCTGCTTCAGATGAGAACCACATCTGTTTGGTTCTCAGCACAGCACCCATATCTGACAGCTCACAACTGACCATATGTATAGCTCCAGGGGATTTGACACCTTCTTCTAGCCTTCACATACATACACACACAGACACACAGACACAGAGAGAGAGAGAGAGAGAGAGAGAGAGAGAGAGACCTATATACATAAAATAAAAATAAAAGATCTTTAAAATGTGGTGATATATAGGGTACAGCATGGTCTCCCAGGTCTTGATGTTGGATTGGTTACACGACTTTTCTGGGGTACATCACATATTTATTCACAAGGCATTTATTGAGAGGCCATTCTGTCCCAGACAGCATGCTAGTTACTGTCAAAACCAAAACCAAAACCAAAAAAACCTCCGCCTCTTAAACACCATGCCAAGTGATCAGCTGTATAAATTCTCATATTTTGGAGAAATTATTGTGCTCGTTCAGCTTTCCACAAGGGTCCTGGCTAAAGTATGGTTGCTTAACATACCCTACAACAGTTAAGATTTTGTAACATTAGTAAGTTCTAGAGTATATTATTTTACCTTTTTTTGTTGTTTTGTTTTTTTTTTTTTTTGGTTTTTCGAGACAGGGCTTCTCTGTATAGCCCTGGCTGTCCTGGAACTCACTCTGTAGACCAGGCTGGCCTTGAACTCAGAAATCCACCTGCCTCTGCCTTCCAAGTGCTGGGATTAAAGGTGTGCACCACCACTGCCCGGCAGCACCTCAAACTTTTTAAAAGATTTATCTTTATGTATGTGAGTACACTGTAGCTGTCTCCAGACACACCAGAAGAGGGCATCAGATCCCATTACAGATGGTTGTGAGCCAGTATGGGTTGCTGGGAATTGAACTCAGGACCTCTGGAAGAGCAGTCGGTCCTCTTAACTCCTGAGCCATCTCTCCAGCCCCTACCTAGAACTTCTTGATCCTACTCCTTCAACCTCCTGAGCACTGAGATCACAGGTGCACAGCACACCCAGTTCAGGCGTTGCTGAGGATCAAACTTCATGCTGGCTAAGGAACTCTACCAACTGAGCTACAGCCAGAGGCCCTCATTTTACCTTTGAAATGGCTCTAGCCATTAATTATCTTAGGTTGAAATTTCAGGTACTATTTTTTGGTGACATTTTTTGAAGGGTTATTAAATGCTTAGCCTTCATTTTTTTTTTTAATACTAACATTTCCAGACTTTTGAGGTGGTTTACATGTTGTCCTATATGTGTACACATGCCTGTCTGTGTTCATATTTGTGTATGCTTACAGTGTGTACATGTGCATGTCTGTATTCATAAATGTGTATGCTTACAGGGTGTGTACATTTGCACGTCTGTTCATAATGTGTATGCTTACAGCTAATGTATTTGTTTAGGTGCAGTTTGGTGTTAGTGTTAAAATGCTAATATTCGTTGCATTTTGTGTGCATTGTACTTTCTGGCCAGTGATCAGATAATGGTGATTTAATAATAAGCAGCAAACATTTTGTGTAATATGATAATACTGTTAACCAGTAGTCAGTAGTTAATAAGATTCCTTCAGTTTTCACAGAGATCCAGTCCATGTCATTCTAACCCCCATCTACTTTGGGAAGTTCAAATGCAAGGACAGCTTCAGGTGTAAATGGTAAAGCTATTTGGAAGAGAAGCAAGGGAGACCTTCCAAGTATGAAGCAATTTTTCATATATTGGTAAAGAAGGAAATGCAAGTGGGCAAACAGTACGTAGAAAGGAATAGAAAAATATTTAATAAAGGTTTGAACCTTGCACTGCACAAGTTGGGGCAGTGATCAGGGAAGTGAAATACACTGTTTTTATCTGCTTTTCATCCAGCTTTTTCTAATGTTAACTTCTTACATAACCACGGTATATCTGTCACATCTAAGAGTTGGTAGACTATTATTTTACTAAACTACAGACTTTTGGATATCACAAAAATTTCAATTCACCTTTCTTTTCTATGCAGAACCCAATCCAGAATTCCATATGGCAGTCAAACTGTGTAGTTTTTTTTTGTTTTGTTTTGTTTTTAAAGAATGTAGTCTCATTATGTAGCTCCTGTAGCTTAGAACTTGCTATCTATAGCTTCAGGTCTGTCAGGAATTCTGTTTGGAGTGTGTAAGTATTGAGCTTCTCTTCATATTAAGTTGGAAGTGATGGCAAGTGGCTGCAATCCCTGAATTTGGGAGATGGGGACAGGAGTAGGAGTGTTAAGGTCATC